AGGCTGTGGGGAGATGGAGCAGGAAGTATGAGGTTGCCCGGGGTGCACCGTGCAGGGGGCAGAGGCTCACTGCCGTGGCCTGAGGGCCACAGCAGGGCCAGCTTCTCACAGCCTGGGCTCCAAAGCTGCCTGGAGGCTGTGCCCAGGGCTGCCAGGCCAGGGCCTCAGTCACAATCAAGCTCTTCAGCTCGCAGCTGGCTGGGCATAGATCTTTCAGCACTTGCTCGCAATTTATGGGTGTCCTCGCAAGGGCCATGGGCAGGAGACCTCCCAGCTGTTTACCCAGCGCTGAGGAATTTGAGGGCGGTGACAGCGCAGTCTGGCTGGAGGGACTCTAGCCCAGTGCAGCTGCTTAGAGGAACCTGCCTGGAGCTCAGGCCTGGCTCGGAAGGGAGCACAGCGCCTAGCGTGGACTTGGGCCCATCTCTGAAGTTACAGATGGGAAAACAGGTCAGAGTGTGAAGTGCGACCACCCCAAAGTCCCACACTGAACCTGTGCTCCAGGGAAGCCCAGGAGCCAGGCGAGGGGGCAGGGTGGGCAGTTCCCTTGCCGGAGGGACCTTGTTAGTGTGTGGTGCTATTTACTGGCTCGCCCACTAGAACATTCGCTGTGATAGCAGGGCCCCTGGATGTCATGTTCACCCAAATTGTGCGTCTTGTTAAGGCATGGAGGAAGCTGGAAGACCTGGGTGATTTCTCATGTTACAAGGTGCCCAGGGGAAGGGCGTGCAGAGGCTTCTGGATGCCTGAGTCCAGGGCTCTGTCCATCTCTCCACTCCCGTTGTTGCCCAAGTGGATGGTCTTAGTCCTCCTGACTCTAAAGCAGCTGCTGTTCCTCCAGGCAGGCACTTGCTTTTCCGGCAGGAAGAAGAGATTTAGGACAATGGATAGAAGGCACGCCCTCATGGAACCTGTCTATTTTAGATCACAGAAACTAGTTTCCTAGAAGCGCCCTAATAATGCCTTGGTTAAAGCGTTGGTTCTCTGCCTTGCTTCCTAATTTTAACCTCTTTTAAGGGCCTGGCCTATTGCTTGTTGTTTGGTGGTTTTGTTGTTGTTTTTATTTGGTTACACAAAAATCCCCTATCTGGGGGAAATGCCCCATGAGACTGACTGTTCTTGCTGTGGTGTCCGTGGTAGGTGTGCTGCTTTCGATACCAACCTCCTAGGGGCCTGATCAATGAGGTTGGGGGGTACTGAGGGGAGAGGGGTACTACAGAGGCTGAGTGTGACAGGGTGAACTCTGGCCCTTTCAGCAAACCTTGGACACAAATGGAATGAGACCAGGGCCCGGTGGGGAGCTGGCTTTCCCTGTGCTCTGCTCCTTCTAGGCTGGGCCAGCTGCACCCATGGTTCTAAATGCTGGGCCCTGTGGGTGCCCAGAGCTGGTCTGCAGCTCAGGGCCCTGGAAGGGCTCTTCTAGCCATTTATAGCCTGTGTCCCCTCCCAGCCCTGGGGTCATTCCCCTGGGGCCACCTACTGCAGGCAACATCAGGGAGTGTAGGGCGTGACAGTGCCCTGCAAGCCACGGCCTTGGCATTGCCAGGCTCAGAGTGACAGTCTCAGGGCAGGGCCCTCTGGCTGTCACTGGTCCAAGAGTGGGGTTGTCCTTGTCCTGTTGGTTCACAGGATGGGGTGGTCAGTGGCTGCAGTGGCTGTGTGACCTAGCCCTGGAATAGGAGACAGGGAAGGGGCAGACTGTGGTTCCATTTATTTTCTAGGACCTTGGCCTTGGTGCTGCAGGGCCACAGCGTGAGGCAAGGGGAGCTGGGAGGGAGTCACAGGCTGGCGGCCAAGTGGGAAGACAACTTACAGCAGGGAGAGATCCCTGATGCATCCCTGGGCTGCCCTCATCCTCGTCCCTTCCAAGCCAGTGTCCCCACGGAGGATCTGCTTTCTAGAAGGCTTACCGCTGACCAGCTGTGTGTCCTGCGGCAGGCCACTGCCCCTGAGGTCAGCACATCGACACCTCCCCTCTCTTTCCTCCTGGCTGGGGCTAGGGGAGGATCTCCCGGGAAAGAGCTTAGCTGAGACAGAAATAATCTTAGCAACAATCACAATCAAAATAGTTCCCATTGTGCAGACCCGCTATGACCCCAGTCCTCCCAAATGCCTTATCTGCACTAATCGAAAAGACACATGACCCCAGACTCTTTGTTTAAATATGAAACCTGGCAGAGTAGGGAGTTCTATTTTTACCTCCAGGCTTGTGGGCGGGGAGGGAAGTTCCAATAACGTTCTTCTGGCTTCACAAAGAAAGTGAAAAAGTAATTTTGCCTTTGAGGAAACCAAGATGAATATTAATGTGCTCTGGCAGGAGACAATGGAGCAGGCCCGCCTAGCAGAAGCATGGGCTATTCTGAGTAAAGATGGTTTTTCAGGATTTAAGGGTCATCCTTAGTCGGAATCCTAGAAGACTCCTAGGTCAGAAGTACTGTTTGCAAGGACGCTTTCCAAGCAGATTTGACTCAGGCCTGTCGTGGCATACAAGCGGGGTCATTCCTTCTCAGCTGGATGAGGTTGGTGGGTCTGAGTTTCCTAGGAGCTCTCAGCAAGGAGGGTAGAGGACTTGGTTGGAGCTGGGCATAGTGTTGCACGCCTGTCATCCCAGCACTCTGGGAGGCTGAGACGGGAGGAATTTAGTAATTTATTGAGACCCTGTCTCAAAATAAAAAAAAAAAAAAAAAGAAAGAAAGAAAGAAAAGGGCTGAGGATTATTAGCTCAGTGGAAAGGTCCTGGGTTATATCCCCAGCAGCTCAGAGCATGTGATTTGTCATGAAGATGACAGAGTGTGAATACGGGGTGATTGCGGTTTTGTTTTTGAGCGTGTATGTTTGCATTTAATCCTCCTGCAGGAGATGGATGTTAGCATCGTGTCCACTTTGTGGAGGAATGAACCGAGGTCCGGAGAAGCTCATAGCTGGCTTGGCATCATGCAGTGAGGAAACCACGGACTACACTTGTGTGGATGACACGGGGGTCTCCGTGGAGGGTGTTTGGGGGCTACAGCTGTACCGTGGACTTTTCAGAATTCATTTCCTATTGCTACTCAAACAAATTACCACACACAGCCCCCCAATTCTTTTTCTGAGACAGGGTCTCCCTGTGTAGTTCAGGCTGGCCCTGAGCTCACTATGTAGTCCATGCTGGCCTCAAAATCACCACACTCCTCCTGTCTCAGCCTCCTGAGTGCTGGGATTACAGGCATGGGCCACCCTGCCCAGCCCATAGTACACATTTATCTTAGGTATGGAGACTGGAAGTCCAGAATAGTTCTCCAGAAGCCAAAATCAAGGTTTGGAGCCATTAGAAGAGAATTGATTTGCTGACCTTTCCAAAAGCTTTTGGAAGCCACCTGCATTCTTTAGCGTGTGGCCCCTTTTTCCCTCTTCAGTGTGGTATCTTCTGATCTCTCTTGAGGAATCCAAGATAAATTCCTCATCCTGAGACCTTGAATTTACTCAAACCTATGAAGTTCCTTTGCCTTGAGAGATTTACATACGAACAGGCATTAGGAAGTGTGTGTGTGTGTGTGTGTGTGTGTGTGTGTGTGTGTGTCTGTGTGTGTCTGTGTAAGGGTAAAGGGCTCCTACTTTAGGGATAGCAATCATCCCCCGCTCAGGGAGTCATGGGGAGGCCAAGCTTGTGTTCCACAGGTACTGAGTAAGGGCCTCAGCAGGGACCTGCCTCTGCTGCGGGCTGGGTTCAAATCCCAGCTCTGTCTCTGCCAGGGGCCTGGGAATGGTGAAGAAGGGAGCTAGGCAAGGAGGAAACAGACAGATGCACCCGTGTGACGGGCTCTCATCTGCACCCCAGCCTTGCTGGGCAGACTCCTGCCCCCGCATTTAGCAAATGTGGAAACAATAGCTGGGGGAGATCAAGCGGCTTCACAGCTACCAGGCCGGGAGCTGGGGTTTCCCATGCCTGTGCTTGTTGAGCCTGATTCCCGCTCCACCTCCGTGGCTGCCTGCCAAATCGCTGTGTGTGCAAGGGGCTCAGTATTTTCTTTAGCTTGGCTTACTACCTTTTAGTTTAATTGTATCTGTTTTAAAATGAAACTATAAGGCCAGAGAGATAGCTCAGTGGACTAAGTGCCTGCTTAGGCAAGTGCAGGGACTGAGGTTCGATCCCTGGTCCTGTGTGCCATGCTGGCCCAGCCTGGATGCGCTGAGCTGGCCGCTGAGACTGGGTGTGGTGGTGCACGCCTGTAATCCCAACACTGGGGAGGCTGACACAGGAGGACCACTATGAGTCAAGCTAAGTAGTGAGACCCTGTACCAAATATATAAATAAAAAATAGAAAAATAAAATGTACCAGTAAAAGGAAAATATACTAAAATGTATTATAGCTGGGGTTATAGCTCAGAAGCATAAATGCCAGCCTGTCAAGTACAAGGTCCCGAGTTTGGTCCCTTGTACCAAAAAATAAAATAAAATAAAATAAAATAAAATAAAGCTATATTACTCCTATAAGTGGAAAAATCACAGAATTCATGTGATATACATATATGCTACATAATATACCATATACTATTAGGCAATATACATTAAAATAAATTTATCACTATCAAAATGAAAAATATTTTTTTTTAGGAGACAGGGTCTCACTGTGTAATCCAGGCTAGGCTTGAACTCACCATGTAGCCCAGGTTGGCCTCAAGCTCAACAGCAACCCTCCTGCCTCAGCCTCTGGAGTGCTGGGACTACAGGCGTGCACCCTCATGTTCAACTCTAGGTATGGGTTTGGCCACTATCCTGGCTTCCAAGGACAGTGGTAACTATGTGGCCCAGTCCAGGCTGAAATAAGTGCCGAAGGTGTAGGCTCTGTCCTCGCCCAGCCCCCTGAGGTGGCGAGCTCTCTCTGAGGCCTCCCGTGGCTCTCCCCACCTCCTTCCCCAGCTCCCCAGCTCCTCACCCAGCTGTGACGCCTGTGCCCCTGCTGTCTGGGGCAGGGCGGAAGTAAGGCGGGCCGCCTGCAGCTTCCCCTTTTCTACCTAACTCGGGGCGCTGGCTCTTCCCCTCAGTGCTTCAGAGAAGGGGACTCAGCACAATGGCTCCCCGCACCGCCCCCACCCGCCAGATCTGCTGCTGCTTTAATGTCAGGATTGCCACCACCACCCTGGCCATCTACCACGTGGTGAGTGTGCCAGGGGCTGTGTGCGTGTGTGAGTGCGTGTGCGTGTGTGTCCGTGTGTGTGTGTATGTGTGTGTGTATGTGTGCCTAATCTGCTGAGCATCTCCAGTGGGAGGACTGACACCTTCCACCTCCCCAGGGGGCTCTGGACAAATCCTTTCCCACTGGAGTCTCAGTTGCCCTGTCTGAGGAGGAGGGAGCACAGCGGAGCAGTGCAGAGGAAGAGTCAGCCTTCCAAGCTGTGTAGCTTAGCGTCCTCTGAGGCTCAGTACTTGTCTCAGCCAAATGGAACAGAATGGCAGCCCCATGGGCATCCCAGTGGCAGCAGCTGATGTGGAAGCGCTTTTGAGACAGGGATCTGGAGGAGTGCAGGCAGGTGTTATTCCAGGATGTGCTGTGGGCCGGGGTCCAATTCCTTCCTCTAGGCCTGGGCTGCTCTGAGGTCGAAACTCTCCTTCATGTTTCCACTGGGAGTCAGCGGCTGAACCCCCGTCCCTCTCAATCCAGCCAAGCTCTAGCCTCCCCTCAGCCAAGCAAGCTTAAGCCCCTGTGCAGAGGTGTAGGGTGGCTGCCTGGCCCCTGCTCCTGGGTGCAGCAGGGAGCAGCTCCCGGAGTTCCTCTTTGGGGGGGCGGTGTGACCTTTGTCTCTCATGTGACTTTGGGAAACTCACAGCCTCAGGTCAAGGCTCTCCACTGGACTTGGGTGGTAGAAGTCAGGGTCCCTGCTGTGCCCCACCCCCACCCCTACCCCCAACTCCTGGCCACATGCAGCTGCCCCAGCCCCGGGCGGGCGTCTTCTTGCTGGGGCTGCTCAGAGCCTGTGGCTAACAGCTCTCTCAGGGGCCTGGTAGTGCTTCCTCAAACAAGCCCAAGGTGACAGGCTGCGGTGGGCTGCGGAGACTGCAGAGTGGTGGTGACATTTGCTTCTGTGACAAGCAGGGTGGCCAGGGAAGTGTCAGGAGCAAGGCTGTACGAGCTGGTGCCTCTCAGCTGTTAGCAGGTGGCCTCTGGACCCAGACTGCAGGTATAAGCCCTGGCTTCCTCATTTCTTAGCTCTGCAGCCTTGGCAACTTACCAAACCTCTCTGAGCCTGTTTCCTTATCTGAAAAATGGCAATGAAAATAATGCCTGTCTGATAGGTTGTTATGAGGGTCAGGGAGTTAATAGAAAGCACACAGGACAGTGTCTGGCATGTAGTGAGTCCTTATTAGTGGTGTCAGGTATGCCACATGCTACCAACACACTTGGACCCAAGCTGTTGGGGTCCCAGGGTGCCAGTTTTAGGAGGAGCCTAGCTCCTACCAGCACATGACTTGAGAAGAAAATGACACATTGTCTGTCCCCACATGAAGTCTTTTGGGCCTTCAACCTCTGAGAGTGCAGCTCACTTAGAAGGACAGTGTGAGCTTCGATGTACCTGCAGGAGGCTCCTGTGCCCTTGGCCCAGCTCTGCCTGTAACTGTCTGTGAGGCCTTGGACAATCCTGTGTCTCCACCTGTTTTCCCTTCATAAAGTTGGAGGTATTTGGGGGTGCTTCAGGATTTGCTGCAGGAGGTGTCGGAGGTGGTAGCCTCAGGGTTCAGGCAGGTCATGGGCGGGGCTTCTGTGGGCTCAGGGATCTGCAGGGTCTCTTACTCCACACCCTCCCCCCGCCAACCGCTGTAGCCACTCTGTTTCTGATTATTGTTGCTGCAGAGGAATGTGGGACACAAGTCATGGCGCGCAGGAAGCTGGCTTTCACGTCTTGGCTGCAGATGCGTCAGTGTCGGCGGCCAACGCCAGGTGAACATTCCCCTGTGCAGCTGCGCAGCAGGACTCTGCGCTCTCCCCTGAGCACCTCTCCAGGGCCTGCCTTACGAGCTTTGCTGGTTAAGCGATGTGCCGTGGTGGCCGTGGCCAAGTGACCAGGGATACAGCTTGGAGCTGGCACTGTGGGCAGTGGGTGCAGTCAGGCCAGGGAGGCCTGGACAGGGGTGAAGAAATGGCTGTGCAAGGATGGGTGTGTGTGTGTGTGTGTGTGTGTGTGGACTTGTCCACTGGTGCTGCAGAGGTCAACGGGAGACTGGAGGAGGAAGAGTGGACAAGCGCTCTGATGGCCAAGTGAAAACTGAATCTTCCCTCGAATGCGCAGTGTGTACTTGGGGCTGTGTAGTTGTTGTTTGTGCAGAAGGTTGAGCGACATCTCTGTCCTTTGCCCACCAGAGGCCAACAGCACTGCCCCACCTGCCACCTATGTCCCTAGATCAGGAGCACTATGGCTCCCACCAGAGAATTGCTGCCTGTGACGCGAGTCATGGGGAGCCCTGGAATGATCTAGGGCCAGAGGAGGCAGAAGAACAGAAGAGTAGCCTGGAAGCTGGATGCAGGCCCCGCCTGTCTTCTGGGCTTGGGTCTTCAGTTGACTCCAGTGGAGACTTATTTTCCTGTTACCTTGTCAAGAGGCCCCTGATCCTTCCCAGAAAGAGTGGGAGCTAGGGGCTTTCCCAAAGCCCGGCCATCGGGCAGCAGGTGTACTGACAAGACCTTGAACATCTGCATGGCAAGCGATGTCACCGTGCAGATGTGCCAATTGCCCAGGTTGGTTGTCATCTGGAGCCAGCCATGGGTGACGGCGCTGTGTGCTGTGAGCTATTTGTGGATGTGACAAACCCTCTGGGGAGACTTAAATTGGGTCCTTGACGTTCTGGGAGAGTGCCACGCTTTGCTGGGTTGTAGGAACGTTATTACAAGAAGTGGCTTTTGAGCCAGTCCCTTGGACCCTGGCTCCAGGGGCTGTGATCTTTCTGGGTTGTGGGGATCATTTTCTGGGCACTTACATCTGCACACAGGAAGTTGGGGGGCTCTCAGTCCTGGATGTCATAGGCCTTGAGTGCTCTTCACTGGTGGCAGGCAGTAGGGAGACCCAGGGGACCCCTTTGCCTGGAAATCTCTACCTCCCTGGCCTTTCCTACCTTGTGCACCTGGAATTCCATCTTAGAAATGCATGTCAGGGTAAAAACTGACACCTGCTGTGATAAAGAAAAACCAAAATAACAAAAAGCCCAGATTTTATCTGTAGAAACAGGATACAACAAAACCAAGTCAGGAGGAAATGCACTAATGCTAACGGTGTTGTCTCTGGCCCATGGTCTTGAATGTTCTACTTTTTCTCTACTTTTCCATTTTGCTGCAATAAATAAGTACTACTGCCAGGTGTGATGGCCTGTGTCTGTAATTCCAGCCCTGGTGTGGCTGAGGCAGGAGGATTGCTGAAAATTTGAGACCAGCCTGGGCAGCACAATGTATTCAAGTTCTGCTTAAACTAGATAACAAGATCCTATCTCAAAAAGCTCAACTCAATTCAGTGCAACCAAATTAAACAAACAAACAAACAAACAAACAAAACTCGTGTGTGTGTGTGTGTGTGTGTGTGTGTGTGTGTGTGTGTGTCTCATATTCCTGGAGATCAAACTCGGGGCTTTTATACAGAACTACGTCTGCATGCTCAGCCCTTTTTATTTTGAGACAAGGTCTTGCTGGGTCACTGAATCGCCTTGTAACCTTCCTGCCTCAGCCTCCCAGAGTGCCAGGAAGTTAGGCACATACCAGCCACTATGCTTGGCTACATGTCCTACTTTTCAACGTAAACTGTTCATTTTTAGTATGGTTTTAGATTCATAGGAACATTGTGAATATGGTACAGAGAGCTTCCTATCCCTTCTAAGGTGCTACTGTTCGTGTCCACCTGGGGGTGGCACAGTTGCTGTGATGGGCTGTTGGCCCTGATGTGCCATTGCTACCTACAACCCATGCTTCACGCTCATCTCTTTGGCATCCCTGACATCCTCTCCTGCCCAGGACCCCACCTGGGGCTCCTCTGGGAATGTGCATGTCATGGAGTCCCTGCCTTCTTAGTTCCCCCCATGCAGTGACAGCTTCTCCAAGCTCCTGTTTCTGGTGACCTTAATGGTTCTGAGGCCCACTGGCTGGGTGTTTTGTTGACTGCTGCTTAAGGGGCTTCATCTGGTGTTTTCCTCTTGACAGAGACTGAAATCGTGCACATTTGGGTGTTTGTGTGTTTATTTGACACAAAGTCTTGCTGTATAGTTCAGCCTGTCTTTGAACTCACTTTGTAGCCCAGGTTGGGCTTGAACTCATGGTGATTCTCCTGCCTCAGCCTTGTGCTGCTGGGATTGCAGTGGGCATCATCACACCTAGCAGGTTGTGTGCATTTGGGAGCCAGAATGGGGGCGCTCAGGCCTGGCCCAGCCTAGAGGGATGAAACCAAATCACCAAGAGGCATGGTGACCCTGCTGCTGGGCCGTCTCCACCAGCCACGCTCTGCCCTGCCTCCTGGGCTGCGCTGCTCAGAAGAAAAGCCCTGTGTAGCCCATCTGGGTGTGTGGGAGTCCTGTCTTCCTCCTTTGAGTGGAGAAGCTCCCTGGGCTACGGGGGGCACCTCACAGGCGGGAGGGGGCTCATCTGCTCTCCCCACTTCCTATGTCCCTGAATGCTGTCCTTCCTATTGGAAGGACTCTTGAGTATTTGTTTATGTACCACCGGGGTTGAACCTAGGAACTTGGCACTGAGCTACATTCCCTAGCTTTTTTTCTTTTCTTTTTTTTTTTGTTGTTGTTGTTTTTCACTGAGTCAGGGTTAGGCTGGCCTGGAACTCACTATACAGTCCAGGTTGGCCTTGAACTCCAAGCGATCCTTCTGCCTCAGCTTCTCAGTGCTGGGGTTACAGGTGTGTGGCACCATGCCCAGCTGGGCTGGAACTGTTGACCCTCCTGCCTCAGTCTCCCAGAGTGCTGAGATCATAGGTGTGTGTTACCACATCCACCTTACTTTTTTATGCTTGGGGTTACAATCCCAAACTGATGTATCTTGGTGCCCAAATGCTCTGCTTTTCAAATGTGGAAGAACAGTGGGGCCTGGTTACTCCCAGAGAGGCTGCGCTGCATTCTGGTGTTTGTGTCCCCCCCCCGGAACCAGGGATTGAACTCAGGCCCTTGCACTTGCCA